GACCCAGAGAGACTGATGGGCTCACAAAGAAAACTAGACATCAAGACAGACACAGCTGTGAGGGAAGCAGGTACACATGACACGCACACACTAGGATCATAGATTCTTTTATGTGATAATATTCCCATCTTGTGGGCTTTTAGGGTATTTCCTCTAAAGGATCTTAAAATCAAATTCTTGCTCATTGCAAGCATAAATGAGAATCACCTCTTGGCACACCTGCAAGTGTCCACTGAGACTGGAACCCCTCACTGTGGTCCAGGACCACCAGCTGCTACACATGGTACCGTTTCTTAGTACAGAGGGACCCTGGGGCGCACACAGAGAATGAGGGATGGTAATCGTGGATAAGGGCTGTTGCTTCTCACCCAGTTCATGTGCTAAGACTGCAGGGAAGATTCAGGACCAACTTCCTCCCCTCATCTCAGCCACATTTTCTTATCTCCCTTCCATCTCTGTATCACCCCAATTTCTCTACTTTCCTCCAGCATCCAGCAGTATCAGCAATTCCTAGGAAGATCAACTCCATTTGGCTTCTGCTATCACCACGCTCCTGTCACCATGCATGGCTGTTTTTGACCAGTGAGTGGCTGAGGTGAAGGGAAGGAAATGAGGGAGGAGGAATTAGGTGAGAAAGAAAGCAGCTATTTCTGCACGTGCTTACCTATGTGATGTTCCATTCAAACCTGATGGTGGCCATATGACCCAGGCTCATCCAATCAGAGCCTAGAGTACTGTGGCACCATGATTAACTCAAGAATAGGTTGTTGGGGGGCTGGTGTTGTGGTGTAGTTGGTTAAGCCGTCGTCCCCAAATGGGCGCCAGTTTGAGACCCGGCTGCTCCACTCCCGATCCAGCTCTCTGCTAATGTGTCTGGGAAAGCAGTAGAAGATGGTTCAACTGCCTGGGCCCCTGCACCCACATGGGAGACCCGAAAGAAGCTTGGGGATCCTGGCTTTGGCTTGGCACAGCCTCGACCATTGTGGCCATTTGGGGAGTGAACCAGCAGACGGAAGATCTCTGTCTTTCTCTCTCTATAACTCTGCCTTTCAAATTAAAAAAAATCTTAAAAAAAGAATAGGCTGTTGACTCAAACAGTTCTCTGCAAGGGATTCTAGGTAGTGTCAAGTCAGATCAGCCAGATCGCTTCTCATTCATTCATTCCGTAAAGATGCTGGTGTCAGTGTTCTCGACACAGCGCTGAGCAAAGGAGCCTGCCCCTGTGAAGCTGAAAGTCCAGTGGAGGAGTGAGAGTGAAAAGAGAGTTGCAGAGAGGTGGGAGGGAGGCGTTAGCTCTGTAGGGAGGCCAGGAAGTAACTGTGTGTTGCATGCTATTAAATCATCACCAATGTAAATTTTAACACATATGAGTTGATTGATGTATTTTAGGGGGAAAATGTCAACAAAAGGAAAAATACTGTGATTGGTCCTCAGTGAAGCAGAAGTTTGATAATTTGTTTCAGTCCATTGAAGAACTCTAGAAGCTGAATCTGGGTATGTACACAACTAAAATGAGGGAGAATGATCAGAAAGTCTGTGTGTGATTATGATTTGAAAAGACTTCCAGGAGAAAGTAAATTTTGAAAAAGATGTGAGAGTTCATGGTAGACAATACTAGTGGAGATGAAATTAATGGGCCATCAGGTGTGGGATTTGCTTCAGAAAAAAATGCTGTGCCAAAAAACTAGAAATTTTTTCTTGTGGTGAGATCTAAAGTAGGTTGAATTAGAAGGGAAAATTTGAGAGAAGCAGGCATGAGATTATAGGCTGAGCTTCCTGAATTAGGTTGTATAGGTAACAGGCTTCCATATTGGTATTGATAATGAGAGTAAATACTGTCACCGCATCTGCTGCTGGAGACATGACCAAGATTCTAAACTCTGGAATGTTCACCGAATGGTCTGGGGCCCAGGGGCTTAGTGGATACCTGCAGCAAGCACACAGGACATCTTGGTAAAGCCCAGATGCTCTTCCTTCCTGGAGCTCTGATCCCCCTTTCCCGTCTCCTCTCCAGGATGAGTTGTGCTGGACCACATATGAGTCAGGAGGATGTGTCTCCCTGGACGAGGGTGCCATGAGGTGTCCGTGTAGTGGACATTTCTCCTGTTGGCTGCTTTGCTTCTATTTCCTCCTTCTTTTTGTACCAGCATCCTAGTTTCTTTTTGGGGATCCCCTCGCCTTTGCTCTCAGTCTATGTCGTTTGGAAAGGCTCCTGCTACTGGAGACAGAGAAGCAACTCAGGACTGGTCCATCGGCAGGATTTCTGGGACTTTTCCAAGAGATCCTGGGAAGTAAGGGACCCTAGCGGCAAAGGGTTTTTGAGCCTGAAGCTGCTGCAGAGCCGAACACTGCAAACTCTGGGTAATAATGAACAAAGATGGAGACAAAACATCTAGGACCTGGAATTCTTCTGAGATTTTCAGCAACATGAGTCACTAAATTTCCTTTTTCGGTTCTAGCCACTTGGGTTTGGATTTTCTATGAAACAACTAAGAGTCCCAGTCTTGACTGTAGTCCTACTGCTGGTGTTTTCCTCATGGGCCCCAGTTCTGTTCTTGACCATCTGGGTCTTACTGCCTGGTCTGGGAGAGGAACTGCCGCGTTTCCACTGGAAGCCTTTTTCCCTTCACCCTCACTCTGGCCTTGCAGGCTTTTTGAGGGCTGGGTCCTCCTTCCAGGGTTATGGGAGGCAGGAGAGGAGAGACAACAGCATTGACTACCTAAAGATTGTGCCTTCATTTCTCGGCACTGAAGCATCAGTGGTCTCTGCTCTTCACTAGAGCTCCTCTGTCTTTGCCAAGGCAGGGGTGCAGTGCGAGGAAGGAAGCTCTGAGCACCCACAGAGCTGTGGCCAGCATCACTGGCTGAGTGCAATTTTCCCATAAGAGGAAGGCTGAGAACACGCAGGTCCCGGCTCCGTCTACTGAGTCACACGCCTCGTCTTAGCAGAATCTCTACAATGCCTGGCCTAAGTTGTACAATCTTTGTTTATAGGTATCTTTCCTGAAGGGCCTGTAGCGGTTCTGTGTGATGACTTTCTTTACCTAATTGGTTGAATAATTAGAAGTGTACATGAAGCTGGTGTTGTGGCATAGTGGGTAAAGCTGCTGCCAGTGACATTGGCATTCCATATGGGTGCCGGTTCTAGTCCCGGCTGCTCCTCTTCTGATCCAGCTCTCTGTTATGGCCTGGGAAAGCAGTAGGAGATGGCCCAAGTCCTTGGGCCTCTGCACCCACGTGGGAGACCCAGAAGAAGCTCCTGGCTCCTGGCTCTGGCCTTTTTGGCTATTTGGGGAGTGAACCAGCGGATGGAAGACCCCTCTCTGTAACTCTGACTTTCAAACAAAAAAATAAATAATTCTTTTTTTTTTTTTTTAAGAAAGTCATTCCCCTTTATCCATGGGGAATATGTTGCAAGTGCCCCAGGAGATGCCTGGAACTGCAGATAGTACTGAATGCAGCATTCTATGGTTTTGTCTCTCATATGTACCCATGGGAAAGTCCAGTTTGTAAGTTAGACACAGTAAGTGACTAACAGCAACTACTAACAGAAGAAATTAATCATATACTACCTCATTATAGTACATATATTATATAGTATATATTATAGTATTTAGTTATATGAATGTGGTCTCTCTTCTCTCAAGATATTGCGTCTTAGCATGATGTGAGATGATCAATGCCTATGTGAAGAGCTGAAGTGAGGTGAATGATGTAGGCCTTGCAACATAGTTTAGGCTGCTACAACAAAGGTTACTTGAGCACAGCACTGCCATCCATGGCATTTGATCTGGAACCCAGATGGCTACTAAGTAACCGAAGAGCAGGTGGCATATATGGCGTGGATACCCTGGACAAACCGACCATTCCTATCCCAGGATGACTAAAGCTTTCATTCATGCTGTTCAGAAAGGGGCATAATAATGTAAAATTCATGAATTGTGTATTTCTAGAAATTTTCACATATTTTTGGGCTGTGGTTGAATGTGCATAGCTTAAAATTTGGAAACGTACTTTGCCTTCAAAAGAGCCTCAGGTAGACATTAAGCCAGACACTAGGTCCATTTTACAGGTGAGGAGACGCTGAAGGTCACACAGCTAGGAAACAGGGGAGCTGCAACGAGGGGGCTGGCAGCCGAACCATCAGCCCAAGCACACGGAACCCCTTCTCCCACTCTTGGGCACTCTCTCTGTCAGGACAGTTTGGAACTGAAGAAAAATACAAAAGGGGTATGAAACATAGTCTGAAAAAACAGGGCCCCACAAAGCACAAACAGCTGTTAAGATACAAGGCAAACCAGACGATTTTCTTCAGAAGCCCCATGAAATGAAAAAGATGATGATCTCTCTCCCATGTGTAATTCCAAAACACAAAACAAGACTCAACTATAAGGTGAGCGTACGAACTCCATAGGTTCTTATTTTCTTTGTGCAAACTGTGTCAATGCTTCTTTTCTTTTAAAACCTTCAACATCAACTCATCATAAGAGGACCTGTGATAAATACTAAACCTGTGCCTTTGATTAGCTGGTGCCATAAGCTTGTGTTTAGTTGACCTGTTAGGTGTGTGTACCATCTGTGTGTAGTGGCTGGACACAATAACACTAGTTTTATGCCCCTTAGTATATGGAACATTCCAAAGTGTGCACCACATACTTGTTATTCACAAGAGAACAATACTTCTAATTTAGGCATTAGAAAAGCACTCCATTCAGCACTAACTCTGCTTTGGGATATTTACGAATGTTTAAGGGACACCCTTTAGGTATTCTGAATCACCAGATTAGAGAATTTTTGAGCTTTAAAAGATAATCAAGTTAAATCACTCTCAACTTTGCAGAAGACAGTTGCTCAGACATTGGGTAGCACACTGAGTCCAAAGCTCCATTTAGTGGCTTCATTTAGATATTATCTGTTTGAAGTCACCACGGTCTTCTTGCCTGGATCAGCCGGACTCTGCTTTATGACACAGAAAACAGGTATCTAAGCAAAGGACATACCTGCCAAGCCTCAACCTTCTTGATGTCTGCACAGGAACCGTTGGCGAAGAGCCCTCTCCCGGGTAGGCAGGTGTAGATATCCTGCAGCGCGTGCGCAATGGAGTAGACCGCTAAGTACACGTTGTAGGAGATCCGTAAATGCGTGTAATCCATGTAAGGGGTCTCCACACTGCTGATGTTCTCAGCCCCTGTACAGAGGGGTCGGAAGGCAGTGGAGCTATTGCTTAGCCTGCTGCTACCTTCTTCATGACTTCTCAGGAAGGTGTCCACGGGCAAAGGTCCTTTAGCACTTTCTTGGAGGTGGCAGTTAAACGTTTCTTCCCAAAACTCCTTGGCAAAGCCATTGTGGACAGACTTCCTGGGGTGGACTTTCTGCAGGAATTCCCGGAACCCTGGGATCTGCCCCGCCTTCAGAGCAAATCCAATGGTGCCTCCGACCACATGGAAGTATTCAGGCATGGCGATCAGGGAGGAGCTGGCCCAGGCCTCGCTGGCCAGCCAGATCCTACCGGTGATATTGCGCCGGACGATCTCCTTGATGAGGGGTTCCAGGTCTGGGCCACTGGAGAAGACAACAATGACCTTGGCCGTGGAATTCTGGATCACCTCCACCACCTGCTTGATCTCGTCCTCATCAGAATACTGGGAGATGAGTTCGCTGAAGTCAATGCAGATGTCCCTCTCCTCGGCTTCCTCTCGGAACTTCTCAATCCCTGGCCGGCCATAGTCATCGTCAGCTGCAATGGTGCCCACCCAGTTCCAGCGGAAATACTCAATGATGTCTGCCATGGCGGTGGCCTGGTGCTCGTCATTGGGGATGGTACGGAGGAAGGACTTGAACTGGTTCTTGTTGCTGAGGAGTCTGCTGGAGGAGGCGTAGCTGACCTGGAGAGAACCAAGAACACAGGATGACTGTGTGGTGCAGCAGGTGCCCAGTGGGCCTCAAAGCTGCTGCGGGGTGGCCTTTGGAGTCCCTGAGTCTCATGGATCAAACACTGCCATTCCCTGTGGAGGGGATGAGAGGGCGCAGACAGCTGACACGTGTCCTGCTCCAGCCTGGAGACCCTAGCACCTATCCGTCTCTCCGGGAGCATCTGTATCCCCAGTGGGGGATTCTTCACAGTGCTCCATTTAGAAATGGGTCTGGCCATAAAAATCAACCCAGCCATAGTGGGACCTACTTCTTGCTCCAAGTTCATGTGCAGGTTCTGGCCCATTCACAGTGCTCTAGGCTCCCCACCTAGGAAGTTCCAAGCTACAGGAGCATGTCTTCTGAAGAACAAGGCGTCTTTGCACTCATGAAATATCTTCTAGGAAATGAAGTAGTGTTTGATATCTTGTGTTCTCTACAGAGTTTTTAAACTGCTTAAAAAAAAAAAACTCTTGAAGATATTTGGGGGAATGACATTTTAGTATTTATCAGAAATTGATACTTTTTTATGTTCAATGTTTTTAAATGGAGTTTTCCCAATATTCTGCTTATCAATGAGTAGTTTCTACATTAAAAGCATAAAATATATGAGTCTATGAAAGTATGGGCTCTACTTGGCTAATGGGCAAGTAAGGTTTTTTCTGTCAAGAACTTTGATTTTAGATCTATAATCTGAAATGGACTTTTTTTTTCCTTTATCTGAATAAGACCTCTTGTCTCCCACAGAAATTCATAAGGTAGGTGGCTAAATTCAATACTTTGTTTGGACGCTAATGTTTTTATTTTTTATTTTTGACGCTAATGTTTTTAGAAAGCTTTGTTCAACAACAAGCTTCAGAACCAGGTTTTGCAAATGCAGAACCTATCATTTCATGAATGCATCCGTTATTTCTGGATTTTCTTTTGAAAAATGGGCCTAAAGGGCTTCAGAGATATAAAAATTAAAAAGAAGACTATCCCTCCTGGATTTGTTCCCTTAAAGAACACAAGTATAATATTTGTCGAGTTTTCAAATGGCAGCCTATAAAGTGCTGTCAACATCATGTGGTACCTTGTCCCCTTCCCCCAAAAAATATCTTAAAAACACACAGAATTTTTATTATTATTGTAAGAAGAGAGAAGTCCATGGATGATTCAGAAAACTTCTAACCAGTTTGTTCTAGCTGGTCTGCTTGTTCCATCCACTTGGGGGCGTGACTGGCATAAAAAATGCCGGTGATGTCTGACCCTACCTGCAGAGCAGGGCTTCCTAAACGGCACGCGAGAATCCACAAAGGAGCTTTATCCACTCAGTTAACCCAGGATCTCTGAGGGATAGCACCCAGGCTATGACTGGATGCATGCTTTTAGACCCCCCATTCCCACCCCACCTCACCCGCACCCCAGGCAGATCCAACATGCATGGGTGGCAGAGAACAGCACTGCCGTGGAGAAGCTTATGTTGTTCTAAGCAGCCATCATCCCAGTCTTCTCCGCACTGTTAGAACCCAAATCAGACTCTGTCCTGTCTTTCATCTGAACCTTCCCGAATGAAAACCTCCCCTGCATGTTCGTTCCTCACTCAATGCCAGTTTCATCGTATGCCAAGTGGCCTTGGGGTAGCAGCCTACTCCACTGTGCACTTCCAATCATGCTGTGCAGTTCGGAACTTTAAACCGGCCCACCACACTCACTAGCGTGGGCTTTGTCACTCTGGCAAAAAGTTCCAAAGCCAGGGCTGCCCCACGGGAATCACCTTTAACTCCCTGCGGTAGGATTCTGTAAACGATGACACGGCTTTTGCCATTGTCACATGTATATGAAAGGATAATGGCCATTACCAAAGAAACAGGGCCTTCCCAACACAGAAATGAGAATTTACCAAAGGCACTCTTACAGATTTAAAATGTGAAACATGGAAAAAAATATGGTTAAAGTGTTCTTTATAATTTAATTTAACATTTGACATAAGGAATAAATCACAATTCAGCTGATTCTTCCAGCCATGGGTATTTAGGTTATTTCCAATTTTTCATTACCATAAAATGATGTCATAGACCTTAGGTATTCAATTGAAGAAAGATTTTGTCTATAGTGCTAAAGGGAAAAATCAGATAATCAAATGGCATCTAGAATTTGCTCTTTTTTTTTTTTTGGTGAAAAAATGCAATTTTGACTGAATGTTTATTAAAGCATTTGTTGCAGCGAACTGCTAGTATCTGAAAATGCAGCCAGCTCTCCACCTAGGCTGAGTTCCTGCAGGCTGGAGGCTGCTTATTCATATGCATTCTATAAATATATATTGAATGAAATAGAATATTCGCCATTTCTGCAATGTGCAAGACAATGTTTAAATTCCTGTTTTGTGAGAAAATATGCTCCACTTTCCTCAGAGCTAGATTTCAGGCAGACAGTAGAAAAGCAGAGAGCTTTAAGGGAATAGGACTAGTGGCAGATGTTTCTGGTTTGCAAAGGACTCATTCCTTTAGTAAGAGCAGAATCCTTATTAAAGGATTAGATTGGGAAGCAGATAACTGAACCCATTGGCGGTGGGGGGCAGGGAGGACAAAGTTGTACAGGAGGTACATTGGAAAGAATTTAGGCAGGTTAGTGAAGGGGGGGGGTTCTCAGAAATCCCAGGCGGTTATGTTACAATGCCCCCAGCTGAAAGGTTCTTTTGTGCCAGTGTAAAACCAAAGATAGGAAAACAGCAACTGGCCTGGATGCTGGGGCTGGCTCCCCTGCAAGCTTGCGTCTCCTGCACCCCAGCCCCAGTTCCCCATCCAAGAAGGTGCAGGTACCTGGGGAATGTAGAAGAGCCCCAGCAGGTTGGCCACTGCCGTGGAGACGCCCGAGCCCGTGGCTCCCACCACAGCGATAGTGGAGGGGATGTGCTCAGAGCAGTTGCAGAACTCATCAAGGTTCAAAGAGTCGATTTTGTTCTGGGCAACAAAACTCAGGGTGGCCTCCAAGGCTTTAGACACGGTGTTGCAAGTGTCGAAAATCCTGTATCCCAGCGTCATGTTGGGGAGAAGGGCTGGGCTGCTGTTGATCTCCTCTATGGCAAATATCATCGCCTGTAACCAGCGAAAACCACGAAAGTTATACCTGGAAGAAAGAAGTGGGAAGTGAATGGAGACTTTCTGGTTAACTAACTACTTGAAGGACTGGGCAAAGCTGGGTCTGAATCATGGCTCTGTTACCCGTTGGCTTTGAGGTTCACTTTTTGGGACTCAAAGTCCTGTCTGGAACATGGGGTTAACACCTACTTGTTCATAGGGTGGCTGTGAAGGTATGGACAGGTGGCAGTGATGTAAAATTCTCAGTGTGTGCCTCACACAGAGTTGGGGGACAGGAATAACAAAAGATTGTTATTAGTAATTCATTGAATTATTTCTATCTGCTGCCTCCAGCAAAGGGTTTGCAGTAGTTGATGTGGAGTACTTTTGTAAATGTAATATATAGATTTAAAGAGAAAAAGGACTCGGGAAAATATGAATAGATTAGGATATTAGCAGGAGGGAGCCTAAATATAGCCTCAGATTTGTGGTGTCACAAATTTAGGTGATGATATCCTTGCTGGTCAAAGAAGAAAGGGAAAAGAATGATCTTGGTTTGTAAACAAGCAACAAACAGTGTAGGGAGGTAGGAAAGGAATTGTGTGCTTTTGGCTTATTTATACTATAAAGTCTTTTTTTTTTAAAGGAATGTAGTTTACTTTTTCTTTATTATTCATCTTTTGTGACAAACATATGGTCTTCAAAATATCCATAGAAAATACATCTCATAAAAAAACTACACATGAACTTCAGATTTTTTGAAGTAACTTTGTCTTTTAACTTCATTTTCTCAGAATTTTTGAAGCATCTTTTCTGTAGTTAGACATGGGATTCTAAAACTGATTGTAATGATAGTTTTGCCACTGACATACCCAGGTTACAAAGGAAAGTCACTTACTCATGTTGTCTCCATTTCTTCACATTTAAAATGAAGATACTGAGTTAGAAAACTTTTTGAAAGATCCTGGACCTTAAACATTCTTTTTGTTCTGGAAGCAGCTGTTGGGCTTTTCTTTTTTCAGTGATAAAATATGAATATCAAGATGTGGGAAAAATCGTGGTAGACAGCTTGCAGTCTTTATTAATGAAGTAAAAGTTAAATTTGTGGGCTACACAGCATTTTTTGGGTTTAATATATCAGAATAATATTCTGTAATTTTCTCTGAATTCCCAATGTGCTGTCACCAATAGTAATGCTTGTTAAATTCCAGAAAAGCTAAATAAGTGTACTAAGTTACCCTCATTTTAAGGTTTTCTTTCATGAATTTTAATTCAGATGTTGAACACTGGATAATTAGTCATTGGCACTAATGGTTGATGTGGGACAAATGGAATGCTCACAAGTGAAAAATAAAATTCTTTTTCTTCTTATTCATTCTTGGTCTTTAGAATTTTGACTCTAAGACTTAGTTAGATTCCCCCTGTCTAAATATATATGCAAAAAGGATCAGGAAATGCTTAATCATTTCTTCATAAGAACAATATTTACTGATGGTGTGGCACTGTGGGGAAGCAAGTTAAGCCACCTCTTGGGATGCCTACATCCCATATTGGGGTGTCTATGTTCAAGTCTTGTCTCTGTTTCTTTTTCTTCTTTTTTTTTTATTTAGTAAATATAAATTTCCAAAGTACAGTTTATGGATTACATTGGCTCCCCCCCCATAATTTCCCTCCCACTCGCACCCCTCCCATCTCCCGTTCCCTCTCCCATTCCATTCACATCAAGATTTATTTTCAATTATCTTTATATACAGAAGATAGATTCAGTATATATTAAGTAAAGATTTCATCAGTTTGCACCCACACAGAAACACAAAGTGTAAAAATACTGTTTCAGTACTAGTTATAGCATTACTTCACATTGGACAACACTTTAAGGACAAATCCCACATGAGAAGTAAGTACACAGTGACTCCTGTTGTTGACTTAACAATTTGACACTCTTGTTTATGGCGTCAGTAATCTTCCTAGGCTGTAGTCATGAGTTGCCAAGGCTATGGAAGCCTTTTGGGTTCGCCGACTTCGATCTTATTCCGACAGGGTCATAACCAAAGTGGAAGTTCTCTCCTCCCTTCAGAGAAAGGTACCTCCTTCTTTGATGGCCCCATTCTTTCCACTGGGATCTCACTCGCAGAGATCTTTCATTTAGGTCTTCTTCTTTTTTTTTTTTTCCCAGAGAGTCTTGGCTTTCCATGCCTAAAATACTGTCATGGGCTCTTCAGTCAGATTCAAATGCCTTAAGGGCTGATTCTGAGGCCAGAGTGCTATTTAGGACATCTGCCATTCTATGAGTCTGTTGTGTATCCCGTCATCTCACTAGTCCAAGTGATCAACTTCAGTTCACAATTGATCACACTGATATTTCTAAGAGTCAAAGGGATCACACAAACAAGACTAGTGTCTGCTAATACTAACTGATAGAATCAAAAAGGGAGAGAACTATCCAACATGGGAAGCAGGATCTACTATAAAGTCTTAAAAATGTATATGCATTGCTTTTTAAAGAAGAATGCTATTTTAATAAAAATCAAGCAAATGGATAAAGACAGACAGGGTCAGTGCAGTTAAGTTTCACTCTTCCAGCACTTGGTTTAGAGTGAGGCCTCTGCACGTGCTGACTCAGTGAACTGACTCAGGTCCAGTGGGAAAGATAGAACAATCTGGCAGGTTCTCCCTTCCTAAGGGGAGCTGCCTATCGGAGCACAGCAATAAGAGGTGGGAAATATGATCAGTTATACTTCACTGTCACTCAGGCTCCCAAGGTTGCTGGTGTAACGTTCAAATAATATTCATTTATTTGATAGGTACAGCGAGCAAGCGAGAGAATTCCTGTCTGCTGAATGCAACTCAGAGGTCTCCCACTTGGTGGCAGAAACCCAATTAGTTGAACCATTACCTGCTGCCTCTTGGGGTCTGCATGAGCAGGAAGCTGGAGTTAGGGGCTGGAGCTGAGTACTGAACCTGGGCACTCCAATCTGGGACGTGAGCATCTTAACCGCTGGGTCAGATGCTTGCCTCCTGATCTAACTTTTAACATGACATTTTGCTTTCATATTTTTTCCTATGCCTCCTTCATCTATATTTGTTTAATTATCCACTGTAAACTTACAAAGTTATTCAGGTACATTATAAAATTTCTCTTTATATAAAATACCTATACTGCTAAACTTATGTTACTCCGTTTCTTTAATGTAATTTAAAAATATATATTATTTTGGGGAAGGTTTCTTGCTTAGTCTTATATCTGTATTTTCATGATACATGCATAGTTCTGTCTGGCAGGGTACAACAGACTATTTGTCTGCATTAATGAAATTCTGCACTCACTTTTTTTGCATTCACAACTCCATGAACAGAAGTCTAGTTTTGGGGCCGGTGCTGTGGCGAAGTGGGTAAAGCCGCCTGCAGTGCCGGCATCCCATATAGGGCCTGGTTCGAATCCTGGCTGCTCCACTTCTGATCCAACTCTCTGCTATGGCCTGGGAAAGCAGTAGAAGACGGCCCAAGTCCTTGGTCCCCTACACCTGCATGGGAAGACCTGGAGGAAGCTCCTGGCTCCTGACGTCAGATTGACGAAGCTCCGGCCATTGTGGCCATTTGGGGAGTGAACCAGCGGATGGAAGATCTCTCTCTCTCTCTCTCTCTCTCTCTGTATGTGTGTGTGTGTAACTCTGACTTTCAAATAAATAAATAATTTTTTTAAAAGTCTAGTTTTGTTGGACAACCCCTAGTTTTCATTTTTCAGCCTCAAGAAGATCAAGGAAAAGTGTCGAACCTTTTCTGGAAGCTGCAAGTTTCAGGAAAATTCCTACTCCTGCTCAGAAGTTGGGTCAAGACTCGGGGCGTGGGCATGGTCTTTGGTGTCCAGATGATGGGAGGTGGCACAGGGTCCCACTGTACTGTGCAGGGGTCAGGCGCTGACGGTCACCAGAACTGCGAGGGGTTTAGAAACCATGTCCTGGAGGAAGCGATGAGCAAACTGACTGTTTGGCCTGGAGAGGGAAACGTTTACTAGGACGTATCAGCTGTATGCAAACGGCTGAAGAGCGAGCCCGCTGAGAGAATCAGATAGGTTCTGTGTGGCTCCATCTGTGTCAGACGTATTCTGTGTTTGCAGGGGTAGGGCGAGGGTTCAGCTTTCTGAGAGTTTCTAATGTGCACAGTTCCCAATGCTGTCGACTACATTTTGAGGTTGCCTAGATCACGCCAACTATTGAGGTTTCTTTCACTTCTAAATTCCTTTATTAAAAAAGTGAGCTGGGTGGGTGCTGTGGCACAGCAGGTTAAGCCACTGCTTGGGACACCTACTGCCCATATTAGAGGGGGGAATTGAATCCGCCTCCACTTCAGATTCAGCTTCCTGCCAATGCATCCTAGGAGGCAGCAGGTAATGGCTCAAGTACTTGGGTCGTTGCCACCCACGTGGGAGACCCAGATAGAGTTCCCAGCTCCTGGCTTTGGCATGGCTTAGCACCAGCCATTGCAGGCATTTGAGGAGTGGACCAGCGGATGGAATATCTCTCTTCCTTTCTTTCTTCCTCCCTTCCTCCCTTCCTCCCTTTCTCTCTTTCTCTCTCTCTCTCTGTCTCTCTCTCTCTCTCTCTCTCACACACACACACACACATTCCCTGTCACTCTGTCTTTCAAATAAATATAAAGAAATAACTTTAAGACATCTTAAAAAATGAGCAAAGCAGCCAACACTCAGGTATTACCGACCTTTGGGACATGTAAGGTCACTGGACTTTTTACGACTAGATGTACAAGACTGGCAATGAATTTTCTCCTAGCTACTTGGTCTCCCACCACTCAGGGCTGCTGCTGGGTGAACAATGATGACTTGGCTACCAAGTGGCCAGGCCTATGTTTTCACAGGCCCTGGACTTTCCTACTCGAGATCCTTGACATTTTATGATTGGGAAAAATTCTTTAGAAAATAGCAGTGGAGGAGTGAGTGGGAGAAACAGTGAGCTCCAGGATGACCACCAAGCACCAGTTTTGAAAAGAGAGGAACAAGTTTGAAAAAGCTGTCTGGGGATTGTGCAGCTGGGGTCACCCCGCAGGAGACTGGAGCCTCTGGGATTGGGCTCCTTCTCTTACCTGATGCATTCCACAGACTCCGGCCGGGACTTCAGATCTTGATCTTTGGCTGCTACTCCAAAATGAATAGGAAAGAGCCCCCCGAGAATAATGTCCCCCTTCTTCTGGGCTCGCTGGTCAGGCCCATAGGCAGAGGAGTACCAGGCAAGAGCCAAGAAGATCAGACAGTGGCTAGGGAAGGCCATGATCCCGCCTTCTCTCCAGGGGAGACACAAGCGTGACAGTGGGCGGGCGCCCTGGGAAGTTTCCCTTGGTGCAGCTCGCTCCCTGCCGTGGGGGCCCAGAGTCTATGCAGTGGCTAAGGGCAGAACAGATGCCACCGTGCTGTCTGCATCTCCATTCCTGCCTTCTCCATGGTGGACTTGTACGGCGGGTGGTCCTTGAGTCTTTCGAAGCTGCATCATGTAGAGATTGCCTGGGATGCTTTCTGAAAGAAGAAGGAGACAAAATGAATTCAGCCAAACCTAAATCCCATCTTATTATGATGCCTGCCACAGAGGTGGCTCAGAATTCCCATTTGGAGAGGTAGCAGATAGAGAAGGCATGGCTGAGAGGCACATTTACTGTACTCCATGCAAAATGCAGAAAACTTCAATTGTCCCTGTTGGAGAAGGATTAGATTCGGCTATTAGAGGCCACCTTCAAAAGCGGTCATTGATAAGCCAAGGCCTCACTGATAGTATTGCTGGATTTTAATCCATTCATCTATCTGCACGAATAATGCATAGAATTGGTACAGTAGTCTAGCTCCTTGTATTATGTTAATATTAATGATATTTTATTCAGCACATATGTTCTTAAAGAGAATACAGAATGACTGATATTTAGGTTCAAATTTGACTTTGAACCAAATAAAAATGTCAGATAAGACCACTTTTTAGATTTATTGATTGTGACATCACCCTTTCTTCCTGTTTCTGTGAAGATCTCTGGTTCCAGTGAGTGATATGACACTCTCCAAGCCTTTTAAGAAGAGTTCTTATAAAGGATTCAGCTACAGCAGGGGCCGTGGTGTGGCCCACAAAGCTCAGCAGCTGGACCCAGGGGCAAGGCTTCCTGCTGCAGGTGAGCAGCTTGCTGGGAACTCTCTGCTCTTCTCACTTTGTGCCCTGATGGACACCCCATCCTGTAGGTCAAGTACACAGCCTCTCTGGAGGTTCAGGGCCAAGCACAGGAAGTGTCAGCTGGACACCTCCACCTGCATGTCCAGTTCCTCCTTCGTCATTTTGCATCACAGAAAACAACATGCCATCCACGGAGACACAGAGTGAGAGCCGTCCTTGTCCCTTCTCACCACAGCCCTCCTTGTTCAATCACCAGACTCCAGATTCCACTTCCCGAATCCCTCTGGAGTCCAGCACTTCCTCCCCACTTCCAGGGCCATTGTTTCGTGAATGGATTTCCTGCAGCGATTTCCTAACTGACCTCCCTGCCTCCATTTGTGTCCTTTCAGAAGTATTTGGATGCAGGAAAACAAGTGGTTTGGGCTCTGGGGTTAAACCTGGCTTTGAATCACAGTTCCACTCTTCCCCAACATTGGACTTTGGGTAAGTCCCTTAACCTCTATGGCCTCAATAAAATAACACTTGAGGGGCCCCCAGCGCAGTGCCACCCGTCAACTCACAGACAACGCTGGCTCTGATGAATGCCTTTCAAACCTCACTCTTGCTCCTCTTCCCTTTGAACTTCACACTCCGGCTTTCCTGAATCTCTGTTGGGTTCTCAAATATCCCAGGCTTTTTAAACAACCCAGACCTCACACACGCTGCTCCCCCTCCTTGTTCCCACTGGCCTAATCTTCGCTGGAAAACATCTGCTTATCTTCGAGCTTTCAGATGTCCAGGGCTGAGGGGTCTTTGTGTGGTGGATGAAAGGAGCTCCCTCTGGGGCAGACACATCCTTGCCTCAAGGTGCACAGCTTGAGGAGCAGGGCACAGGTTCAACCGCCACCCAGGCTGACCCCTCAGTTGTGCAGTAAGCAACTTCCAGGCCTGTCCAGGGAACTCGCTCTGAACCCCCAGAGTGGGAAGGTCCCGTTGTAAGAACACAGCCTCTTGCATCTTGAATGTGGGAGCGCCCGTCTTAGAAGACACCTGGTCCTGGATTAGAGCCACGTGTGTGAATGCTGGCTCCCAGAGCCCAGGCTTTGAAGCATGGTCGCCTGCTGCCTCTTGCTCCTTAGGAGTCCCATTGCCTCCTCCAATAACCATTCTAAGTGAGGGCATGCACCCCCCGCCCCCCGTGGAAGGAGCACCCCAGAGGGCATCCACCTGTTGTGGAATTGCCTCCAGTGATGCCTGGACACCCATGGCCTTCTGGTTTCCTAACTCCAGCCCTACCTTTAGATTTTGGGTTCTTTGCTTGGACCTTGGTCAAAGTTCATTTATACACTCAATAAGTACCAGTGCTGAGACCTGGACCTATAAAGGTGACGGATACACGCAGGTTCCCATCTTCGGGGGCTCCCAGTCCAGTGGGCAGGCATACTAGTGTAGAGATAGGGAATTTATCACAACACTCAGAAGTAAATTTAAAAAGTTGTAACTTTGTTCTCTCTAACTAGTTTCAACTTTGCCCTTCCCCCCTTCTCGCCAACCTCCTAGAACAGTGACCGAGATGGTAAATGCTGCATGAATGCTTGTAGAATGGATGCTTTAAAAATAAAGCATTTTGGAAAGAAACAGAAGTTAGCATATATCCATCTAGGCATTTTGCTAGGTCCTTTAAACATTCAATGTATTTTAAACTTCCCAACAGTTTTGCAAAGAGGGAAATACCAACTCCACTTTCTAGATGAGGAACAGCGTCTCCGTGTAGTCTGCTTACTCAAGTGAGAAATTCTGGCACTTGAATTAAGAATGCCTCGAGCCCTCAGCATTTTAAGAAGTACCGTGTACTGAATTAGGTAGTAGAAAGAACATTATAACCAACTAGGGTAAGTCAGTAGGACCTGTTAAACTTTTCCTGTGAAAGATTAACTCCTCGGGGAAATTTATTAACTTCATTAGTCCATTCAACAGAAAACGCATGGCAAGAAGTAGTAGATGAGGGAGAGATTTCAGGTCAATTTGCAGTAGTTAACTCTGCCGGTCTGATGTAGTGTCCGAACCACCACCCTTTCTCATCCAATTACCAGGGTCTAATTTGCTCTCAAAGCAGAGAGTCACTCTAGATCCTTGGTGTCCCTAGCTTCCCTCCCTCGCATGCTGATTCTGCCATCACTCTGTCTGCTCCAGCCCATTCCATTCCTGTCACACTGCCTTTGTCTGGTCTCTCCTTGTCTTTTTAGCATCTTTGTTGCTAAGGCTTTCTTTCCTCTACCTCACTCCTCCCACTCCCTAGACAGCAAAAACCAGGGCAGTACCAAGTGTGATGCTAGTACAATGGCTTAACAGTTGGGGTTCATGGTTGTGACTTCAGCTTACAGTAGTTAAAATACAGAAGTCCTTGTGTAATCAGTAACAGCACTTCAGTGTTAGACTCTGTGGTAGACTTCTAAGTGAACCCCTTGTGTCTGTGTACCTGTTATGCCACAGCAAGACAACTTTTAGCTGGATGAGCAGCTGTCCAAAATAGATGGCTCTTCCCAACTTCCTCTCTGACTCTGTGTGGTCAGGTTCTGGCCAAGGAGCTGTAAGTGCAAGTGTCCTGTGACAGCTTCCAGGAGCCTTGCTTAAGAGCCAGTGGCTGTTTGCCCTTCTCTGTGGGGAGCAGCTCGGACTAGACTAAGTTACTGGAATTAAGACTTATTCTATGCATCTGCTCTCCTCTGTGGGGAGCAGCTCGGACTAGACTGTTACTGGAATTAAGACTTATTCTATGCATCTGCTCTCCTACAATATGGCGCTGGGAGAGGAGAAAACAGCTTCTACCCAGCTGCCTCCAGTTCAACCAATAAACTGTAGGACTTGCTCCTGATTGGAGAGCAGCGTACTCGGCGTGTGGGCAGCCGAGTTAGGATTGGCGGAGGAGGACTATAAAGGAGGAGAGAGACGGCATGCACCAGGAACATCTATGGGGAACATCTAGCTGAAGGAACACCTGTGCAGCCCCCCAGAGAGCCGGCCGGCGGTGTGCCGCTCCCCTGCGGAAGTGGGGAATGCGGCCAGGGGGAACTGCCCTTCCACGGAGGTGGAAGGGATAGTAGCCAACCCGGGAAGAACCAGCAGCAAACCCGGGGAGGGCCGAGCAGACGAAAGAACAGCGCAGGGTCCTGTGTCGTTCCTCCACGAAGAGGGGGAGCGACATAATGGTGCCGTGACTCGGATATGAAGCCTAGGCAGGGTTTAGTGTCGTTCCTCCGCGACGAGGGGGAGCGACACTTCTCCCCTTCAGCCTCCTTCCTCCATTCTGTTGTGTGGAGGTGGATGTCGCAGCCGGAGCCCATCCTGAACCATGGGCCACATCCTTGGGAGTGGTGGTGCCAAGAGCTAAGGGTTTCAGGAGCAAAGCCTCCGTATTGGACTACTCCTGGTCTTTGACAGGAGAGAGAGAAAGGTTTCTGGCTTATTTAAGCCACCATCATTATGATTTTTTTTTTAATCGAAGCTGTCTCTAACAGTACCTAACAGTCACAAACACATTTGTTCTTCTTACTACAGGTTTATTCCATTTAAATCATACATAGTCATGTTTGCTCTCCTGCCAAAGAGTATTACATGTGAATCTGAAGCCAATATTTGCTCTTTCTCTCAATGGCAGATACATCTTGGAAGGAGAAATGAGCCGTGGAGCAGCTGGGTTTGTGTGTAGAAGGTCCTTGACATCATGAGGAGGGGTCAGTATTGATAGATGACTGCTCACTGAGTTCCTCGTCCAGGAGATGTGGGGTGGGAGATGCAGGCACACTGGTCTATGGGTTCCATAGTTCATGAATATCAGTAGTTATTTCATAATTCAAAAACATTTATTGAATACCTTTATGTGCAAGACATTAGGGAGAGCCAGACACTAGGGAAAGAAAATTGCAATTCTTGCCTTCAAGTTGCCAGTTTATTATTTATTTATTTGACAGGCAGAGTGGACAGTGAGAGAGAGAGAGAGACAGAGAGAAAGATCTTACTTTTCCGTTGGTTCACCCCCACAATGGCCGCTGTGGCCGGCGCATCACGCTGATCTGAAGCCAGGAGCCAGGTGCTTCTCCTGGTTTCCCACGTGGGTGCAGGGCCCAAGCACTTGGGCCATCCTCCACTGCACTCCTGGGCCACAGCAGAGAGCTGGCCTGGAAGAGGAGCGACCAGGACAGAATCCGGCGCCCCGAACGGGACTAGAACCCAGTGTGCGGGTGCTGCAGGCGGAGGATTAGCCTAGTAAGCCGCAGCCCAAGTTGCCAGTTTAAAAGGAGATAGAAAGCATATTGTAACTACAGTGATAGAAAAGCTACAAAGAGGGATGAATTAAGTGTTGAGACAGAGAGGAATGATGTCC